AGGTGCTCTTAGCATCACAGATAAGTGCTTAGTGGACCATGTTAAAAACAAAACAAGCAGAAAGTATATATCATGGCTCATGCACATAGCTGAAATTTATTATATATATATATATTTTTTTTTGTCATCATATTATATTATTATCTTATAGGTTTCTAAAAAGAAATTCAGTGAAGTTCGACAAATAAATTAAGGTTCAAGTATAATATAAACGAATTTATAGATTTTGATAATTTTATATAAAATTTTGAATAACTACACGCTAACTTAAAAAGAAAAGTTGATATTTTCAGAACCTTTAATTTGCTATAATTTTCTTTTTTTTTTGGTATATTCTGATTATATATGTATTGACAGAACCTTTGCTTTGAAAATGATTGTTCTAAATAAATTGTGAGAACATAATAATATTTAGATAATGAAACTCAACTGTAGAGTAAAAGTCCAAAGTTTCCGGCTTCCGTTTTGAGTATATATATATCCGTTCTGAGCTTATTCAGAACTAGTCTCGAAGAACCCTAATTTAAACCTAACTTGACTGAAAAGAAAGATTTTTTATTCGGAGTGGCATTTTACAGGTAAACCTCAACAAAACTAGTCACATTTTCGTACATTATTATTATTACTACTACTATTTAACTTCCTTTTACAGTAGGGGTTCATTGTTATGCCGCCGTTTTGAGCTTTCAAGCTTCAGCCACCCTTGGCCTTTCGTAGCTAGCTGGGCCACTGCTGTGAGTCAAAGTGGTCTCGAGCGTGTTGAACTTGACGCTCCTTGCTTCTTTGGGTGAGATTTGGAACCCATTGGTTATGACCTCTAATGGTAAACCTCTCAAGACTGAGGTTCGCCCCGCAAGAGTGTTGATTTGCGCGTTTGCGTTTGTTTTGAACTCAACCCACTGGAATCGGTTGCTTGTTGCGCGTTTCACCACGGAGAAACCTTGTGGTATGGCAATTAGCTGTCCTTGAGAGACTTGTCCGTCAAACACTCTGTTACCGTTGTCGTTTACGATCTGGATTTGGGCTTCTCCGTCTGTCACGTAAAGTATGGCGTTCGCGTTTGCGTTCCACTGTGGAAGCACCATTGCGTTCTACACCCACACACGTTTCAAGAGTCAAGTTTAGATAGTAGAAATGGATATATTATAACAAACCGAACACTCAAAATGTTCACCTTATTCAAATGCATGCATGCATATGTTACTTGGTTCCACTTAAATCAAATAAATTTTGAACTTACTTGACGGATGGATCCACGGAGGGCTGAGAGACGGATGAAGCGAAGGATGGGGAGATCGTAACTGTTGAGAATGCTGATGTAACCGAGCTGTGGCTTGTACACGTCAGTACGAGACGGGTCATCGAGATTATCGGTGGACCTGGCGCTGCAGATGGTCTCCTCTAAGCCATTACCGTGTCGTCCGTGTCGTCTTTCTTCGTCGTCGTCGTCCCCCTCCTGAGGTCTCTGACCCCTCAAAGGCGGCCTAATGACACCAAACGGGCCTTCGACTCGGACAATGTTTCCACGGTTGTCTTCTTGGTTCTGAAGTTTTTGCGCTGTCTGAAGATTGATCTTCAAAGCTTGAGCAATAACCTCGGGTTCGAATCCATTGAAAATGTTCTTTTGTGGCTGTTGCTCTCGTCCTTGTAGCCATACTTGGCCTTGTGGGTTGTTTCCGGCTAAGTAAAATGGCTTCATTCATAACACACCAAGAAAAATAAACCACATTATTTTTTGTTATTTTGTAACTAATTAATATAATGAATCTTTTTGAGGTTTTGGTTTATATATACCCTTGGGTTGCGGTCAAGCTGGTTCTGGTGACTGGCTAGATCGAAAACGCTGACGATGACAAGTGGCTGCTGTCCGTCGTTGTAGAACCACTGTGCTACACCGGGTGTTGTGGCAATGGTGTCACCGCTCCTTATGTGCTCCACTTTCTGGTGCATGTCACGGAACATCTGCCTTTCACCTTGACCTTGACCTTGACCTTCTTCACCCTGACCCTCGAACTGCTTGCCTTCGCGTGGTTGGAACTCTGACGAGTCTTGGAATGTCTCGGCGCATCCAGGGATCACTTTTCCCATAAGACCTCGTCCTACAGTTGAACACATATAAATTACATATATAGCTCTATAATATATATATACTAGAGAAAATTAGGGATGTTTCAATTTAGAAAAGAAAAGAGTAAACCAATCCAAAAAGAGCATGAACCATTCGAATCTTGATATAGAAATAATCGTATGTACCTTTAGCCACGAAAGAGAGCTTCGCGGTGTTAAAGAAAGAGGGCAAGTAGAGACCCTTAGATTCGATGATGTAACGTGCAAAGGAGACGCCTGAGCAACGGAGCTGAGGAGCGTGGTGGTCCCACACCTCGATGCGACCAGCCTCGCTCTTCAGAACGTGTGAGGGCTCTAGCGCATTGAGCTGGTCGAGCTGGCACTCGTTCGGAAACTGCTGACCCTGCTGACCCTGCTGACCCTGTTGACCCTGTTGACCCTGTTGAGCCGCGTAGCCATGGAAAAAGATCAAAAGTGTTAAGGAGAAAGAAAGAAGAGAAGAGACTCGAGCCATTTTGTTATTTCTTATCTTTCTTGCTTTTTGTGGTTTCTCACTTGCGTTATGAAAAGCTATTTATAGGGAAATATTTCATATTTTTATGTTGCGGATAAATTTATTGAGATAAGAACTAGGCATATAGAGTCGACTATGTACAATCTACACTTCACTTGAATTGCTATTTTTATGTCTTCATCAGAAAATGAATTTTGGCTTCACTCTGTAAAGAATAAATGGAGTTGACACATTTCAATTTGCATGGCTTATTCAAGTGCATGTTTCTTACACATCAGCTTTTGAGATAGGCACATGTATTTGTAATAGGACGACAAATCTTTATTTATTTTTGTTTTATTTTTTTTATACAAATCTTTATTTATTGTATACAGCGGTTTCGTTTTTCTGTGTCTCAAGAATAAAAAAAAAACGTTCTTATATATTAATGTTATATTTGATCACAATTACGTTGGAAACGGCCTACTCCAAATCCGACTTTTATTTGTATAATTTGTGGGATAAAATGATTACATTATATTTTTTTGTTTTTGGTATATAATTTCAAAGTTTAAGTTTTGCTGAACTAATATTCTTCACCGGCTTGACTTGACAATTTCGAAAACAGATCTTTTCTCAAAACGTTTTGAACCATCATTTTTCATTTGTGGATTTCATCATTGCGTTTGAAAACTATGATTTTTTTCTTTGAATCGTTATAATTTTATCATGTCTCCACAAAGACTCTTGATTTTAATTCCTAGTCGACCAAAAATAAATATAATAATTTTGTAAGAATAAGATATAACAAGATTAAAAGTTTGATCCTAGGCTATATATCTTTGGTTAGATCGTAATATATAATGGGACCCTAGTATAATAATGGTCGAGATGGTAACTATAAGAAGATGGTTTCACAAAACAAAACAAATTACAATATGATCGAGAGAAAAGACGTGGCGACATGAAACAGCTGAAACACACGTGAGATATGTTGTGGTGGACGCGACGAACATGTTGTGACGAGTGTACGGCTGCATGCTGTTCATCATCTCCAAATTATGATCAAAATTGACTAGAATATATATCTTTTACTGTGGTTAGGTCTAATTTCTAATGGATCTATATACAAGATTACTAGGTAGCTAATGGACCTATATACAAGATGGCCTGATAGTAATAGCCCAAACGGTACACCTGCATTGCCCAGTGGACGCTCTATGTTCAATTCAACTTTCTTGTGCTCTTCAACTACACGCCGTTTAGCCAAGAGAAAAGTATCACGCACTTGAAAAAGGGATATTAAGAGCAACACGAGATATATGCTCCACATGGTAATGACTCTACACCAAGAATCATTTATGATAAGTTAAACGGTTGGTAATCATCGATGAAACGGTTCAAACGCAATAAAACAAATTGTTAACGATCACAATATATATATTTTCTTCATTAAACGACTTGTTAATGATCAGAAAATATAACATTACATAATATAGAAAAGGAAAAATATAAAATTCCAATCCCACCATATTCCAACTTGTTCATCCCAGGCTGTCACTTAGCCAGCCTTGGACTTTTGAGTTTTGTCCATTATATTGATTTTCTTCTTTTAACAACATACAATGAAACAAACATATATTTCACATACATGTCTACATCTTCGTGTGTACAATGTATATACGAATCGCATCTAAATTTTTGTATTCACGGTAGTGTCTACATATTACAATAGGCGAATATTAGGGGATTATCTCTATATCGGCTATCTAATTTACAACATATGCTTCAACTCGCATTTTCTTATGAATTCATGCGTTCTAATTCTACATATATCTAATCATAAAAATACTAATCTTTTCCTAATTAAAGTATACTAATCTTTTTTAGATTAAGTAAAAAAATACTTTCTGGCCAATATCAAAAGTGTTTTCATTATTGTTCCATTATTTATGTATATTTATGAGTATAATAAATTATCAAGTCATCCTTTTCTTTCTTTATTAGACTAAGTACCTACCATTAATTAATTGGTAGTTTTGTGACTAAGAGTAAGAGGTATGTGTTAGTGTCGGTTGTCACTCTAAGTAAATAGTATACATTTACATTCATAGTAAAAGAAAGATTTACAAATATTCTTAGTATTATTCATGCTATACAATTTTGATGTGAATTGTTTACATTTTGATCTTACAACTCATTACGATATTATGCACATAATTTCCCATTTATCCTAAAAGTTTCATATATATTACACAAATTAGGATCACAATCACAAAACGAGTTATATGTAAAACTATATAGATAATTAATCCCAAACTTTGTCGGCAAATTTTGTCGAAATGACTTATTAGCCAATCCCATCTCATTCCAACTAAGCCACACCTCATCACTTAAACATTCTTCTCATCCATATAAATCATTTAACTCCCAACCTTTACGAAACTCAAACACATAAACTCAACTTCAAAACTCAATGGCCACCACTCCTCTCCTCCTCCTTCTCCTCACCGCCGTCTTCCTCTCCGCGGAGATAACCGCTCAACCCGCTGCTCCGGCTCCTGGCCCTGCCGGTCCCATCAACATCACGGCAATCCTCGAAAAAGGCGGTCAATTTGTTACTCTTATCCGACTTTTAAACACAACTCAAATCGGAAACCAAATCAACATCCAAATCAACAGTTCATCGGAAGGCATGACCGTGTTGGCACCAACAGACAATGCTTTTCAAAACCTTAAACCTGGAACCCTAAACAAGTTAAGCCCGGACGACCAAGTCAAACTCATTCTTTACCATGTTAGTCCAAAATTCTACACATTGGAAGATCTCCTCTCGGTTAGTAACCCGGTCAGGACTCAAGCTTCAGGTCGAGACGTTGGTGGGGTTTACGGACTTAACTTCACCGGTCAAGGGAACCAAGTCAATGTATCTACCGGTATCGTTGAGACACGTCTCAGTACTTCATTAAGACAAGAACGTCCTCTTGCGGTTTACGTGGTGGACAAGGTATTGTTGCCGGAAGAGATGTTCGGAGAACGCAAGATCTCACCGGTGGCGCCTCCTCCGAAATCTAAATCTCCTGATGTCTCCGATGATTCAGACTCCTCTAAGAAAGCGGCTGCTCCGTCACAGTCAGAGAAGTCTGGCTCCGGTGAGATGAATACTGGATTAGGGTTTGGTCTTGGACTTGTTGTGTTGTGTTTGAAATTCCTCTTTTGAGTTTGTTTCCATATATTGATTTCATTGTGCGGTTTGTAATAAGAAATTTCTTTATATGTTGAATATGATGCATGATTCGAAAAGTGAAATAAGAGATTATTATTTCGTGTGCATATATATGTATTTCCTGAAATATAGTAAATTACCATTTTCTGAAGATATATGTATTTTTGTTAGTTCTTTCGATCTGAAAAAATTGACAGCCACATACGATTGCAATATACAAGTCCATGAAGGATACAAAGAATAGAAATAATGTAAAAAACATTGATTTAATTTTGGAATTTTGACTAGACAATATGCATATATCTTCATAACTAAAAGTCCAAAACATAGACTTGTCACTTGTCTCTCGTGCGAACGTTTATTATCTATAACGTCTGACTTTCTGCAAAATTATCATTTTACCAATATAGCGTATATAGTGAGACATTTTTGTCAATCAAAATTACATAAGTTATATATATTTAATAATATACTATTAATTATCAGTAAAATTTGTCTGAAATACAGAAAGACAAAACCGTTATTTTTTATTTTTTTTTTTTTGCCAATCAAACACCATATATTAATTCACGGAATAAGACTCTCTTCTAGAGAGAGCCAATCAGGTACCGTCGAACTTACATGGGAAAAACAGAACCCGCGATTTCTTGCACATTTCGCAAGATAATCGGCGGAGGTATTACCACTACGAGGGATATGCTTAAGACTGAAAGTAGTAAAACGATCCCTGTAATATGTAAAGTCTTTCAATTCTGTAGAAAACGTAGGCCACTCTTCAGGAGCACAAGTCATAGCCAATAGGTCAGAACAATCCGTCTGAATGAGGATACTCGTCATTGGGATCGCCAATAAGCACTTCATCGTCCATATGAGAGTATCCAGCTCTGCATGAAGGGGAGAAAGACTTCTACGCGAGCCTTTTAAGCCTAAGTGTAGCAGTCGTCCTCCCTGAAAAACAAGCCACCCGTGTCCACTTCTAGTCTCCGTCCCGAGCCAAGACCCATCAATGGAGCATACCGGTCTGTCCTCTAGGGATGGCGACTCGTGCGTACTAAGTACCAACTGGGTCTGGGGGTCTTCTCTCTGATTTGCTCGCCTCCACGCGCCTTCCTCTTGAGTTGCAAGATCTAGCGTTTCCTGAGGTGGTACGCTCAAATTCTCGAAAATCTTTCGATTGCGCGCCTTCCAAATATACCACATAATCCATGGGAATACTCTTAGGCTCTCTTCATCCGCACCCGCCTCTTTACCCCGCCAATACAGATAATCTAAGTTATTGTAGAGTGACGCCGAGGGAAACAGCGCTGGGGAAGATGGGATGTTGGAGAGAGCCCAGACTTGTCTAGCAGGAGGACATTCAAAGAGCAAATGGTTGATAGATTCTTCTTCTGCACCACATCTTGAACATCCTTTATCTCTACCAATATGGCGATAGAATAGCCGTTGGCTTGAAGCCAAGCAACCAGTCACACATTGCCACACGAAATGCTTTAATTTTCGCGTAGTTTTTAATTTCCAAGCTTGCGCCTTTAGTGTCGTAACACTAGGTCCCTGAGAAGGGTGGTCGCAAACAGGGCGAGAAATACTTCTCGCGACCTCGTATCCAGATTTGACGATATAATTACCAGACTTTGTCATTGTCCAACAATAACCATCACTCGAGACAATACGACTCGGTTTAATCCCTAATATGAGGGTAATTTCCTCCGGGGGAAACAATTCCCGGAGACGATCCATCTTCCACTGTTTAGATCCAAAGTCAATCAAGGTATTGACGCAAGCCAAAGGGTCTCTCTCCACCGTTAACCCCTTAGGTGGGCGTGCCGGAGTATCTGATATCCATGGATCGGTCCAAATGTAGGTACCGAAGCCCGAGCCAATGGTCTTGCGGATTCCATATCTAAGAACGTCCTTGGCGGCCAGCATGCTTCTCCAACCGTTATTTTTTTTGTGAGTTTAACTATCCCTTTATTGAATCAATAAAGACAAAGATTCAGCATTTCTCCTAACCTTCGAAAAAAAAAAGATTCATCTTTTTACGTGTTATGCAAGCAAACAATACAATATTAATAGGGCCAATAAGCCTCTTACATGTTATTCACCGCCATGCTTTTAGTTTGTTATACATTAAAACCCTAAAAGCTTACCTTCCCGGTAATTTCAATCTCTAATTGTTGCTTTAACTCTGACTTCGCCGGCGATCAAGAGCTCGATTTAGGTGCGTCTCTTTCTCTCTGTCTCTGTGTGTCTTCTTCAACGATCTTATCTGAGTTATCTCATCGCATTAGCTTTGCAAGTGATTTAGCTAATGATGCCTTTAGATTCATATCTATGTTGATTCTAGTTTCATAAATAATATCGATTTTTTGTTGGTGTAAATCGAATTAGCTTCTCAGTAATCAATTTGCTGTGTTGGTTCTTTTGTGTTTAGAAAAATGAATGTCAAAAAAGTTCCAAACGTTCCTGGATCACCTGGACTCTCTGCTTTGCTTAAGCTCGGTGTTATTGGTGGTCTTGGACTCTATTGCATTGGTAGTAGTATGTACAATGTCGATGGAGGACACCGTGCCATCGTGTTTAACCGGTTTAGCGGTATCAAAGATAAGGTTTGTATTGTTTTATAAGAGTTGATTCCTCTGTACCTCTATCTCTCAATGCTTAAAAAGTTTGTTTTTGTTTTCAGGTTTATCCAGAGGGCACACATTTTAAGATACCATTGTTTGAAAGAGCAATTATCTACGATGTTCGTGCTCGACCTTACGTTGAGGATAGCGAAACTGGAAGTCATGATCTTCAAACGGTATGTGTCTATGTGTGTGTGTAATAGCTTATGCTGCAACTCTATCTGCTTTTGTTTACTGATGCTTGTTTGGTGGATTTCACAGGTGACAATTGGGCTTAGGGTTCTTACACGTCCCATGGGAGACCGATTGCCCGAGATTTACAGAACACTCGGTCAGAACTACGGAGAGCGAGTTCTCCCTTCCATTATCAATGAAACACTGAAAGCAGTAGTGGCTCAGTACAATGCCAGCCAGCTCATTACACAGAGAGAAGTTAGTATCTTAGGATTCTTACTCTAATGTTCTGTTTTTCAAAATCCTATAATGTTTGTAACTCTCAAACAGGCTGTGAGTAGGGAGATACGCAATATTGTGACAGAGCGAGCATCTAAATTCAACATTGCTTTAGATGATGTCTCCATCACAAACCTCAAATTTGGCAAAGAGTTCACTGAAGCAATTGAGAAGAAACAAGTTGCGGCTCAGGAAGCAGAACGGGCTAAGTTCATTGTCGAAAAGGCCGAACAAGACAAGAAAAGTGCTGTTATCCGCGCTCAGGTAAGTTGTCTGGATTTTGTTTAAGCATTGTGTGTCTCTCGTTTTATAAGTTGTGTGTTTAATAACAATTTTGTGATTCACAGGGAGAAGCTAAGAGTGCTCAGCTCATAGGCCAAGCTATTGTGAACAATGAAGCTTTCATTACTCTGAGGAAGATTGAAGCTGCAAGAGAGATTGCTCAGACCATAGCTAGATCGGCTAACAAGGTTTACCTAAACTCTAGTGATCTCCAGGCAATGAACTTGGAGCCTAGCCCTAACAAGTAGAGAAAGAAAAGTCACTTTGAACAATTTTACCAATTCTCCGGACTTGTTTTTGCTATTTTTGGACAAGTTTGAGATTTGAACAGTCATAGAAGACTTTTTTTTATAGATAACAAAGTAATATTCTCATTCACCTATGTAATACAAAAAGGAGCAAGTTAACAAATAAATCAAATCGTGTCTAACCAAGAATCAAAATCATCTAAAACTTTGGATTTTCCAATGGAGGACGACGATGAGGTCTGGTTCTGCTGTGGTTTGTTCGACGCTGAAGTACTTTCGAGCAAATCATCAAAACCCGTCGTGTGTAGCTTTTGATCAGATGGGTTCGCAGGTTTGTTGTATAGTTCTGCGCTACTATGAGAGTTGAGAAGAGAATCCAGCTCAGTTTCAAAAGCTGAAGACTTTTGGACGGAACGATTCTGATTGGATGTACTCGAGGAGCTGGCCACTGGGTTAGGCTGAGTATGTGATTCACTAAAGGAGTTGAGGAGCAAATCTAGATCAGTTTCAATCGCTGAAGATTTCTCTGACTCATCTGTGAGTATTGGTATGTCCTTAACATGATCCAGAGACTCAGCTTCCCCAACTAACGACGATTCACCTTGTGCGACAATTGGGTCAATCTTTCCGCTGGATTCTTGTTGAACCGGCTCATTTAGCCTCGTTGTCACAGCTTCTGCGTCTTGGGCTGTATGTGAATAACACAGTTCTTTATTATGGCTCACTTTTGTTTGGGATGTCCCCTACACATTCCACAATATCAAGATATGTCAAACCTAGAGCCTACTGCTGTTTATGAGTGGCTTAGATCAAGTAAGTACCAGCTCGGACGGTGGCAAAAGATCAGGTTCAATGTAGAGTCTCTCGTGCAAATCCACTTTCTCTAGCGTCTTAGCCAGAGCATTTAAATTCAAGGAGAGGAATCCAGGCTTCACTTAAGAAAAGTTAGCAAACAGTGAGACGATTAGCAAGTTAAACCTCAATCTAAGCTGAGAAACAAGGGTACTATTACCTCTTGATATGAAGCTGATCCATCTTCTTCCACAACGAAGTTATCATCTTCCATCCATGAAAGTATACCTTCCCCTCTGGCCGAGATCATAGATCCAACTACGCGACTAAACTCATCTGCAACAATTCATAAATTTGAATACTTTGCACGAACATCAGGAACAACATTTGATTTTCGATATCATACCGTGCAAAAGATCGTCTAACGATGATAGACAATCTAAATTGTTCTCAATCTTTGAATGAGACTCAGCTTGAGCTTCAGAAATCAAATGCACATAATCTGCTCCTTTGCTTTTCGGCAGAATAACATCCGACGGTCGGCTTATCGATGAATCCTCAGCTGCATCAAGTTCATCATCATACCGATCCCAATTCGAAGGGAGTGCAGAGACTCGTCGAGATTGAACCGGACTCTTGGTTTGGGTCCCTTGCAGCTTCTCCGGATTCTTCTCTGAAACTCCAGGACCTTTCGGCTTATGA